TGCTAAGGATGGCTCTGTGATGTCAGTGACGTCTTAGACCAGAATGCTAAGGATGGCTCTGTGATGTCAATGACGTCTTAGACCAAAGTGGAGGCTGTGGAGTTGGGAGTAGTGTTGGAGCTCTCATTCAGGACAACGTGATTTCATGTGGAGGCTGGGAAGAAGTCATGGATGACTGCATGGTTTGGGGTCTCACCGACTAGCTAGAAGTGCCATCAAATGATGTGGGAAAGTCAGAACTCAGGAGGTAGGGTTTGCCTGTGTTGATTTTGAGTCATCCCAGAGATCTGAGTATCACATGGGCAGCTGGACACGCAGTTCTAAGTTCTATGGAGGAATTTGAGGGCAGCCAGTGTGTGAGCTGCAGTGGAGCGCAAACTGAGATTTATATCTTTAGGTATTAGTAGCAGATGTCCCCTGGGAGTGGGTGGTCTAATACTGATAGATTCGCCTAGGTCCAGGGGCAGGGTTGGTAGGTGTACTGAAGTCAGATGAAGGGAAGAAAAGGTTGCAAGGGGAGGAGGGTCCAGCAGGTAGCTCAGGCTCCCTGGGATGAAGGCTGAGACATCTGAGATGGGGGTAGGATGGCTGTAATGTTGGGGGTTGATTAGTCACCCCTTCTACAGGTTCACAAACATACCCATGGTCATGAACATGGGGCAGAGACACGATTTCATTCTATTATATATAAGGTCACCATGAGTCAGAACCACCCAACCGACTCACTGTCCTTTCTCTGTCACTTTTTCTAGAGTCTGGGATGGATTTCAGTCACACTGGTGGATTTCAGTCACACTGGTAGATTTCAGTCACACTGGTGGATTTCAGTCACACTGGTGGATTTCAGTCAAGCTCAGTGGAAGGCAGGTTCAGCTGAGAGAGTCCTAAGCCTGGGGTGGGAGATGGTGAGACTTGGCTTTGAATGTATGTCAGGAGGAAAGAGGAGCCTTTGACTGGTGAGGGGGCTGCATGTGGAATGGCAGAGAGGCCTCAGGATTCTCAGAGATGCGCGTGTGGTTCTGGGTAGCTGAGAGATGGCCAGATAGGGAAATTGATGGAAAGTGGAACTTTTGGAGGTTTGAGGCAGGACAGGACTGGGGGTGAATGGGATCCTGGTGCCCTCAGCAAGCCTCCAACCTGTAGACACCATTTGTGGAGTAGCTTATAAGGAGACCCTGGAGATGTCAGCTGTGTGGGCATTAGAGGGGAGCTAGTGGGGTCTGGAGAGATTTGGTCCAAAGAGTGATGTGTGATGGAGGTTTGGTAGTGTCTGGGAGGCACAATTTAGGAGAGCCTAGGGAATTGCCTGGCAGGAGGGGTGGGAGCCCAGAGCTTAAATGGTGTCTGTCTGCCCAGCTGACTTTTGCTGCTAAGGGATAATTGATGACATCCTGAGCAGAGGGTGGACTTGTGGGAAGCTCAGAGAGGCGGTGAGGTGCTGGGTCACGGGCTGAGGGCCTGGATGGGTTCACGTGTGAATCAGTTTTGTCCATTTTGCTATTGCCCTTTGGTCCAGTTCACTTAGCTGTCCCCATCATGACAGGGTCGGGTGACCTTTGAGGACGTAGCTGTGTACTTCTCCTGGAAGGAGTGGGGGCTCCTTGATGAGGCTCAGAGGCACCTGTACTGTGATGTGATGCTGGAGAACTTTGCACTTGTGGCCTCATTAGGTAAGGCCCTGACACCCGCCTCAGCCTCCTGCCCTAGATGCTACCCTTCCTGTTTTGCTCAGGGGCACCTCTGTCCTTCCTACAGCCAGAGCACAGGTAACACCTCCTTCCCTGGTTCCCTGGACTTGCGGTGTGTGTGTGTGCAGGAATGGGTTGCATGGACAACCTGCTCCTCTCCCCAAGAAACCCAACACCTGTTATCCAAAGCCTTGTGGGCAAGGGTTCAGGAGTCGGAAGTCTGAGCCTGAACATGTACAGACTGACGGCACCTCTTCCCCAGGTCAGTGCCGTCGAGTCAGTTCCAACTCATAGTGACCCTGTCTAGGGTTTCTGAGTAGCAGCTGTGGGTGTGAATCACCAACCAGTGGTTAGCAGTCCAGTGCTTACCCTATATATAGCACCACACCATGAGTCCAAATGCTGTCCCCCTTTTCAGTCTGACACTTCTAGGAGCCAGCTGCTACAAGCTGAAGGCCCCAACGTGGTCACTGTTGGGACCACTGTCCTGTTCCTGTGAACCACTGAGCTTTCTTCCTGGTTACTAAGATGGTCTGAGTGCCTCTTGGTCTGTTATAGGATGGGTTTCCCTGAGCTGGGGCCAGTCACTCACCTGTCCTGTCTTTTCATTCAGCACCTTCCAAGTCCTGTGTGGTTGCCCAATTGGAGTGGGGTGAAGAGCCCTGGGAGCCTGACAGGGGGGGCATGTCTCCAACCACAGTGAGAGGGGTCCAGGGGGCGGGCTGGCCCTGGTCAGTGGGAGCTAGGAAGGAGGTGACATCAGAGCCAGTTGCATGTTGTGTCTTTTGTCATACCTGCCCTGTGTCCACTAGTGTTTTGTTGATGGGGGTCAATAGCTGCACGTTACTGCCATCTTTCTTGTCTTATTCTGGACACTCTACCTTCTTGCCCTTTCTATGCTATCTTCCAGCCCCTGGACGGCTCTTCCTCCCAGGCCTCCATTTCTCACCCTTGTTGCTACCTCTGCTCCCTCGGCAGGCCCCTCACACTGGCCACAACTCAGTGTGTTACAACAGGTGCATTAATTCTTCCCCTAGACTGCGTGAGTTACCCACTTGGAACTAGATTTTCCGGGGCCTGTTTACATGAGTATGTGCCGCATCCTGTCCCCTTTTCCTGACATTTCCTGGGGCTGTGTATGTCTGGTTCTCCTGAAAACTGAGAAGTTAGTTGGAAACATTGTTTCTCTGCGCAGCCTGAACCTCTGTGTTCTCAGCCCTTCCTCATCTTGAATGAATTCCTCAGGAATGATTCCAGAGACTCACTCCTGAGTGTGTTAGACACATCTTTGTGCCAATAGATACTTCACCAGCATTTCTCTGCTTTCAGGTTGTTGGCATGGAGCGGAAGCAGCCTCTCCCGAGCAGGGTGTTCCTATAGAAGGACTGTTCCCGTGTGGGACCCTTGGGGAAGGTTCTTGTACCCAGAGGGCCAAAATCGGTGACATGTGTGGCCGAGTTCTGAAAGACATTTGGCAGCACACTGAGCATCCAGGAACAGAGCCCAGGCAGAAAGCACACGCGTGTGATACATGTGAAAAAGGCTTCCGGATCAGGGCACACCTTCACAAACACCGCAAGGAGCGTAGTGGAATGAAATCCTTCAGTTGGGACAAGAAAAGGGTCTTATTTGTTAAGAGCTTGAGTGTCCCCCTGTCAGAGAAGCCCGTCACATGCAGGGAGTTGGGTAGGAATGTCCGGGACAGCCATGATCCCTTGCAGAACCAGATCACCCACAGTGGAGAGAAGCCACGCATGAACGTTGAACCTAGGAAAGGTTTCCCACACAGCTCTAACCTTGGGCAGCAGGAGGGAGTCCACACTGGACAAAAGGCCTTCAGGTGCAGTGACTGTGGAAAGGTCTTCTCCAAGGCCTTTGCTCTCCTCGACCATCTGATATCTCACACTGAAGAGAGACCCTGTAGTTGCCCGACCCGTGGAAATGCCTCCAAGGAGAAATCGGCCTGTGCTAATCAACCAAAGTCTCATACCGGAGAAACATCCCATGTGTGTCATGAATGTGGAAAGACTTACAGTTATGTGTCTCTACTGAGGATGCATCAGAAAGTTCACACTGGAAAAATCCATTACAAGTGCAGTGAATGTGGGAAAGCTTTCACCCGTAAGCATTCACTCAGGCAGCACCAGAGAATTCACACTGGAGAGAGACCTTACGAATGCAGCCACTGTGGGAAAGCCTTCACTCGCAACTTCCATGTTGTTCGGCACCAGAAAGTTCACAACACAGAAAGGCCGTATGAGTGTAGACAGTGTCGCCGAGTCTTTAGCTGTATTTCCAGCTTTGTTCAGCACCAGAAAATCCACACTGGAGAAAGGCTTTACGAGTGCAGTGAATGTGGGAAAGCGTTCATTAACAGCTCCCATCTTGTTCGGCACCAAAAAGTTCACAACACAGAAAGACCTTATGAGTGCAGTGAATGTGGGAAAGTCTTCCGACAGACCTCCAAACTTGTTCTGCATCAAAGAATTCACACTGGAGAAAGACCTTATAAGTGCAACCAATGTGGGAAGGCTTTTAGTTGCCCCTCCAACCTCGTTCCACACCAACGAATTCACACTGGAGAAAAGCCTTACGAATGCAATGAATGTGGGAAAGCCTTCAGTCAAAGCTCTGCCCTTATTCAGCACCAGAAAGTTCATACCAGAGAAAGACCTTACGAATGCAAAGAATGTGGGAAAGCCTTCAGCTATAGCTCTAACCTTGCTAAGCACCGGAAAGTTCATACTGGAAAAAGACCTTATGAGTGTGGGCAGTGTGGGAAGGCTTTCAGTGAGAGTTCTATCCTCAGTCAGCATCAGAGAGTTCACACTAGAGAAAGGCCTTATGAGTGCAACAAATGTGGGAAAGCTTTCCGCTACAGCTCCAATCTCTCTAAGCACCAGAAAATTCACACAGGAAAGAAGAAGTCTTATCAGTGCAGTACACCTGGGAAAACCTGTCCCTCCCATTTAGTACCCGAACGGTCACACCAGGGCAGTAAGTGTGGAAAAGCAGCTAGCTCTGGCTTTGTCTCTGTTCAGAATAAAAGGACTCACTCCTGAGAAAGATCTACGAGAGGAGAGGACCTTCGTGAAGATGCCAGCAGCCAAAATAGAAACTCATGCACCCCAGTACTTCACTGGAGAGACTGCCCTTGATTGCCAAATAGGTAGAAAGCTTTCAGGAGCAATAATGTACTTTCTAAACTGCCCAGATCCTTTGCCAAACATGCCACTCAATGCCAGTGCATGTGGCAGGGACCATGTCACCTTACAGCTGGCAGGCTCCACAGTGTGGGCCTTTCATCTCAGCAGACTCAGGGAAGGCAGATCTCCGCCTGCTTTCTGATTCTGGAGGGAACTATGAATGATGTGAATCCTCTGGAGTAATATTATGTCTCAATTTTACTCTGTCCCCATGGGGTAGATTCTTCCACGAGGACCCTAAGGTTTCCCTTCTTCATAGTCATTTTTGGGTCTATAGATGATCCCTGCAATGGGTTTGTCCAGCCACCAAATCGCCCAGCCTTGGAGTCATCTATCTGACATTGTGTGATCAAAAAGGCCTTACTGTTTAAGCCCCCTTTAATCCTGAGGGCTCCACCCATTCTGTGAGAGGCGTTGACAACGGAATTATGCTCTGCCGATATGAAGTGGATAAAGGGCTTTGACAGGGTAATGTTGGGAGGAGACATTTACTATGCCTCACTGGAGATAAAATGATAGGGAATGGATTTCAGTTTAATTTAATGTAAGTTTACTTTGCAGTCCAAGATCTGTTGGGAGAGACTAAGGTCTCTAAGGGCCCAATCTTGTTTCCTGGAAGCCACGACTATCTACTGGACTCAGAGCTTACCCTAAGAATTGACTATTACGTGTGTTCCTAGAGCAGTAGGAGTAGGCTCCCGTGTTCCCAGGGAACTCTGGGAGTTTTTGCAGTGCTGTGGGGGTCTCCTGGGACCTGCCCTTGATATTAGAATCTATAGGCAGGTATCACTGAGTGTAAGAGTTTTTCAGGGGCAAGTTGGCACCATGAGTGCAGAAACAGCACTGGAGGTCAGAGAGAGTGAGGACCAAAGAGCCCGGTGTCTGTTACGGGTTGTAAGTCCGCTGTTGTCAGGACTGTGAGTACTATCAAATTCACCCACAAGGATTGGCTGTGCCCAACGACTCATTACAGCCCAGCTCTATAGAGTGCTTGTGGTTGTGTGTGGTGGGGCACAGTCTCACCTCCTCATTTCCCCCTTACCCAGTGTTCTTTCTCCTTATCTAAGGTGCTTGCCTGGCTATTGTAGGTCTTACATTTGGTTCAGCTGCCTATGGGGATCTAGGTGGTAGAGGCAGGTTTCCAGAACACCTCTGGTAATAAAGATAGAATAAGCACAGCTTCTTCTCAGCACTTATGGGAACATTTGACAACTCCTGGCAATAAGAAACCAACTGCCTGCTATTCCCAATCTCAGACTAATACCCTTCTTCAGAATGAGTCCAGAGTATCCTTCAGTTTAACGGGAGATCTTGTAGCGACAATGCATATACGGTCACAAGTGGACAGAGAGCCACGGCCCGTATGCCCAGAGCTCCCTTTGAGTCAGACATGGTGGAGGGGTCCTCACACACTTCACCATCCGTTTTTACCTCAGCCCACTCAGCATGAAAGGGACCCTGGTGGCACTGTAGGATAAGCCCTGGACTCTTAACCACAGATGAATTTGCAGATTTGGGACTGCAAAGTAAATTTAGATTAAACTTGACTGAAACCCATTCCCTATCATTCTATCGCTAATGACACATACTAAGTGTCCCCTGTCAACATTACCCTGCCAAAGCCAAAGCCCTTTATTTGAAATAATCTATCAGCTGCTCCTCAGGAGAAAGATGAGGTTTCTGCTCCTGTACAAATTTTCAGCTTTGGGAACCAGATACAAGGGTGCTCAGTTGGAATGGACTTGACGGCAGTGAGTTGTTTTGAGCTCTGGTAGCATAATGGTTACAAATCAGGCTGTGAACCTCAAGGTCAGCAGTTTGAATCTACCAGCTGTTCCGTGGGAGAAAGATGAGACTTTCTGCTCCCATAAAGATTTATAGCCTCGGAAACCCTGTGCAGGGTCGCTATGAGTCGGAACCGACTCCGTGGCACATAGCCATCACCCACCACCACTCTACATGATAAACAGATCCTCAAAGATTAAAGTAAGCTTAAGTAATTAAGGTTTAAATAATACAACATTTTTCAGACAAAGAGCCCTGGTGGAGAAATGGTTAAGCACATGGTTGTTAACTGAAAGGCTGACTGGTCTCACCTAGCAGTCAGTCCCTGGGAAACAGAGCTGAGTATCTGCTTTCATAAAGATCACAGCCTCAGGGACCCTGTGGGGCATCTCTACTCAGTCCTGAGGGTTGTTGAATCTGATTCGGCTCAAAGGCAACGGGCTGAGTTTTTAACAGATCATTAGACAGTCCACAGTAAGTCAAGATAGGTCCACGGCGAGTCAAGATAGATCCACGACGAGTCAAGGTAGATCCACAGTGAATCAAGGTAGATCCACGGCGAGTCAAGATAGATCCACAGTGAATCAAGGTAGATCCATGG